ACTTAATCGATCTACATTTTCATCTCTACTGGTACCTGCAATCACGCCCCCTAAAAACGTGTTACATTGCAAATTACGTATAATAATAGACTACACATATTAGATACATACTACACACACATACATACTATAATACTACATTGCGTATTTGTAATGAATTTACAAAAAAAGGCGTGTAAGTATACCTGGAACTCTTTGAATTACTGGATTTTCAATTCCGTTCCATAGGTCATAAAACTTTTGTTGCCACTCATTTAATTTTATTTTCTTATTTCCTGTTTTCTTCATATCCGTAATTTTCTTTATTTTACTTTTCATATTATTAACTTTTTTTTATACTTGTTTAATATCTAAGTTTTGTTTTGTATTGCTGTTATAAATCTCCATTAATTCTATAAGGGCTTTGTCTTTTGCAGATTTAATAGCAGGTGTCATTTTTTTATCCAGAATTATCTTATGATCTTCTAGCATTATAACAAAAGCTAATTGTAAGTCTTCATTTTGGGACTATTCTTGATGGGGCATTTCTTCATCTGATGACATTTTACACAACCACTTCAATACTTCAAATAAAAATAAAACAAAAAATCTTAGAAACCTGCCAGAGCCTGCTAATTCTCGAGCAGAAGTCAAAATGGGAAGATGCTAGATATTTTGAAGCAAATACTACGTAATAAAAGTAGATACTACAAGCAGTGTAGTAAATACTTCGACATTAAGCAAATACTACCGGAACTGACCAGATGCTTCATGATGAAGCAGAAACTTCGTAGTAGATCCTTAAAATTGTAGCATTAACATCTACTTCGTTTTTATTCATACCACCCAATGAGTGACGCAATCAAATCATATTTAGATAATAGAGGTATACTTGTGCAAATATGCCAAGACAATAAAAATGATATTGATATTGAAATTATTAAAATTGTAAACGATAGCCATGTCGCAAAGAACGCTGTTGATCTTGTAGCCCGCTTAACACCAATTGCAGTGGCCCTTGATCGAATGCAAAGAGCAATAACAACTATTTCCGTAGCTGTTGAAATTTGGAATAAATTAGAAAAAGATTTACAAGATCAACCACTTGAGGTTAAAAAACATTTTCACAAGCGCAGAAATATGGCGTTAGGAGGTGCTCATTTTGCAGCAAATATGTTGGATCATAGATTTCTTGGACAACGATTAAACAACGAGCAGAAAGAAGAAGCATATGCATTTATTACCAGTAGGAACGAAGATTTTTTGCCATTTGTAATGGCCTTAACATCTAACTCGCTCCCATTTCCTAAATATATGTTTGGACTACAATTCCGCAATACCAGTCCATTAGTGTGGTGGAAGTCATTATGCCTTACCGGTTGGCCTACAGAAAAAGAAAACTTTCTAACATTTTGTGAAAAGCTAACAGCAATTGCATCGACAGCATCATTGGAAAGGTATTTTTCAACATTCGGCTTGGTACAATCAAAATTAAGAAATCGATTGGAACGTGACAAAACAGCCAAACTTGTTTTTTTGTTTAAATATTTAAACAGAGAGCATGCGTCTACAGCTAAAGCTTGCAACAGTAGTAATATAGAATGGATATGGGATGAGGCCACTGTGTCTGCACAGGAGATTCCTTCTGATTCGGATGACGAACTTTGATCAATTTTTTAACTAATTAACTATTTTGTTTTTATTTTTTTTGTTGTTTTTGAGAATCTTGTTTACTTTTTTCAATAAATTAGGTAAATCACATTTTTAATGCGTTTAACTTATTGATCTTATTTAAGAAAGACCTTAAAAATTGTTTATAAAAATAAATATCAAGAAGTTGATATATATCCGATATTTTGATATTTATATAAATATCATAATATTTTCGAACCCTGTAATTAAAAATTTTATTTTGTCATTTCGATAGGTACTTTATTAAACGGCTTCATTAATGTCACTTGTAATTTGAGTTGCCTATTAGTAGATTCAAATCAAAGACATTTTGTGATGTGTTTGATTAAAATATATTTGCGCGTATTTTTGAGACCGACTCACGATTGTAGACTCGTACGATGAAAAGTCCTTCGAAAAGGTCAGTACGAAATAAACCGTTTCGAAGACCGGTAAGCTTTAAATGTGTGTTTCAAACCGTTCTTATCAGTAAAAATCAAAACAAAACCTGTGGTAGAAAAAAAAAGCCTGGATCACCCTTTGGATACCGGAATTAAAGAGAGCTCTCACGTCATCCCCAAACAGGTAGTTTGGGTAAGTGATTTGGTCTCAAGCGTTTTTTCATAACCTTCTTATTCTTTTTTATTCATTTTTTAACTGATATTTAATAGAACAATTTTGAAAGACATACAGTCTTATTTTTCTCTGTCTACTGTTTAGGCTATCAACTGTTCCTACTTGCGGGAACGTACAACCCCTCTTAACGACACTTTTTAGATACCGTACAACTATTGTGCATATTTCGTTAGGCCTCTTCTTTCCATCACCTTCTCCCCACAAAAAGCATTCAACATTTCGGGTACGGCTTTTATAAAATGTCAAGTTATATATAGCATATTTACTTGAGAAGTAGAGTAGAAAATTGCCGCCATGGGGGGTACCAAGAACTTTTTTGTGAATCAAACGATGTACATAGAGTTTTATTTTGGTTAAGTATGAAGATACTTTGAACTTCTTGAAACTTTTTTAAAACCTCTTCTTTTTCTGAAATATGTTTCGTAAAATCCTCAGTTTGAATTTCTGTGTGAAACCTATGAGTCGATTTTACTTTTCGCAAAATAAACATTTATCTTTTTTTTGGTACATGGAAAGAAATATTAAATTCTTTTCAGAAAAGCCAACACAATTATTACCTTCGTTCTGCGATTGAGCCTTATACATCCTATATATTTTTTAACTCGCCAGGTAAGTATTCCTTTGAGGTTTCCTCCCTACAATAATGGGAACGCATCGCTGATTTTACGAATTGAATAACATTAGTTCTCAGATTATCAGAAGTTTTATTTTTAGGCAGAAGCCTTTCTCTTTGATCATCTTTAGTCTATAAATTTCTGTGTAACATCTAAAGTATTCATAAAAACCTTTCTACATACCTTTACTTTAAGTAAAGGTAAATGATAGCTTCTAGTTGAATCCCTCATTCATTCCGGGTTTATAGTTGTTACGTTGTAATCGTCACTCCCTTTTAATAATTACAATATTTAATTAGTTCAAATATTCCAATATATTCTAATACTTTTTGAGTATCCCTCGTATTTGGAAATATGGATATTATATTAATTCGGGGAAATTGTCTCTGTCTAGAGACGTTCTATGGCTCAACCAATGATAAGCCATCTCTAAAAATCAATAATTACTGTCAGAGGTTGTGCACACGCCTGGCCACCTGTTGATGTGGAATGCATTACGTTTCTCGTTTGCTTAATTCTTTTCAAATTTGCAGCCAAACGAACCGGTTGGTTTAGTTTAGTGCTTTGTTTAAGTGTTTCCGAACTAACTAAGGTAACAGAATCATTTTTTTTTATAATGAATGGTAGAAATTAAATTTATTATGGGTGTATATCCTGGTGAAATTATCTTTGAGTTATTTCATTCATTAATAGCGAGATTTCCGCGTAATATAAGTTCCATGCAATGTACTAAATGGCTGCCATTAATTCTATATATTTTATTTTCAGTTATTTTAAAAAAATCTCTCCATTCTTCATGTATTTTAATTTAAATACTATTGCAAATCTCTATTATTATTGTAAACTTGAAATGTTCAATTTAAAAATGTTTAATTTAAATAGTAAGCTTTTATGGTTGACTCGTAGGCTGACCACGTTTTTTTTTTTGAAGCAATGGAAAGATACGGTTTTTTTGTTGTAACTGACACGTTTTTTCTTTCTTAAAAAATTAAGGAACTGGCCCAGTAAGGAACTGGCCCAGTAAGGAACTGGCCCTGATAACTAAGAAAGTCATCGTAGGCTAAGCTACATCTAGAACTGCAGAATATGTCTAGAAGGTCATCGTAGGCTGAGCTACATCTAGAACTGCAGAATATGTCTAGAAAGTCATCGTAGGCTGAGCTACATCTAGAACTGCAGAATATGTCTAGAACGTAGACTGAGCTACAGTTAAGAGAGCGACACGGACCAGTTCGACCGTTGAAATCCGGAAACACACAAGATAAGTGTCGGCCAGGACCACACACAATTTTTGAGTCAAAGTTCATACTAGTCAATTTTAATTTAAAAAAAAAATAATATCTCATTATCTAGTCAAATAACGTAATTTCCGTAAAATTTGTTAAAATCAATAAATTTCATTTTTTTTATTAATATCACTCATTAATTAATTTATTTTAAATTAAAGCCGATTAATTGTTTTAAAATTTAAGTTCTTTTATTTTCCTTACTTTCAACTGACAAGTTAATGGCAAATTTACTTTTAATGTAGATCTAAAGGTATGGCGCCCAAATTAATTTAATTGAATTCTTTTAAGTCTTTTTAATTAAAGACCTTGTCATTGACTTGAAGGTAAATTCTAAACGAATCCCACTGACCCATTTTGATCTGAGCTAGGCCTGAGGCTTGTAAGAATTCTTATTATAAGGATTTTTACAATGAGACCCAGGTAAGGGTTAAAAAGTTAACGTATCATCTGGTGCCTAACGTAAAAATTGTTTTATATTGCAAAATATATCTATATAAAATAGCAAATGTTTTAAAAAGTAACATAGTCCTACTTTTACTTCTTCATTGGAAATATTGGAGGCAATAAAACCCCGTTGGGCTTGATATGATAAACCGTTTCATTTAGATATTAGAAAAAAAAAATGAATTAGATCATTAGGTATTTATTTAAAGAAAGCTTTTAATAAAGACCTAATGATCTAATTAATTTTTTTTATCTTCTAGTATCTAAATAAAACTGTTTTTTACTTCTCCTGTAAAATTAATAAATATAGAGTTTTCATGTTAAGATAACGATATTTTTATCTCAGGTGTAGGAAAAGCAAAAAATATATATAACTATTCGTTTATAAAAATATTGAAAATTTTAACAGAATAATCTGAACTACAACTAGCTAACTGCAACACATTTTCGTCTTCATTTTCACCAGCTTCCCCGAAAACAGGCCTAAAAGCTATCCTCTTTACGGTCAAATGATGGTAGTCCCTAAAAGTAGACAAACAAATCTTATCTTACTAATATATAAATGGATTGGATGTATGGATGGATGGATGTTGCTCAATCACGCAAGAACGACTGAATGGATCTGGATAAAATCTGGCACAAAGATAAATTATAGTCTGGAATAGCACATAGGCTACTTTTTATCCCGAAAAAATGTACGGTTTCCGTGGAATTGATTTGTTTTTGTTTTTCACATAGCAAGGGATCGGACATGATTTTTTTGCATAGTGGTAGTGAAATATGAAAATTTGAAATGCTGCTACTGAGCATAAATAAATAAATAATGACGTGTTTCAGGGTTTTTGAATTTTCACATTTTGAAATACTAACTTTCTATTCATATTTCTTGAAAATACGTAAATGTCGATTAATTCACAATTACATAACAGTGTCCGATCATCTTTTTTTTTTGCTTTCCTCAATAAGAGGGAAATTTAGTAATCGCGAAGAGGCCCCTTGCGGGACTATTTTAGATCGTCACGTTTTGGGGTCCCTAAATTACAAGAAACATGTTTCTCCATTGAGTTCATCTATTTGTCGTCGTGTGATTGTTGGCGCGATAACTCAAAAACGGCTTTAGAGAAAAACAAATTTTGTATACAGATAAAGCTCTTTTCTGGCTCAAAACCAATTATACTTAAATTGGTATCTGATAATTTTAGAAGTCAAAAATAATAGATTCTAAATAAGTTTTTAAAAACTCATAATGGCGCTAAAAGGAATCGTATTTAACCAAAAAAGGTCTCGCTTGAATGAAAATAACAAAAATCGTCCTTTTGGTTTGTGTAACTGGACCATTTTAAAAGCAGCCAATCATTATTATTCAATAAACGTGACATAGAACACCGAGCAAACGCGTATTGAGAATTCGGGTGGGATAAAAAGGAAGATCGTTCTCCAGAAGAATGAAAAAAAGATCTTTGGTTTGGTGGTTTTAATTTTAAATTGTTAAAATTTAAGTGCTTAGGGTTCCATTTTTTTTATAATTTATGTCAGTTCAAGTTCTTCAAAAATACATTGAGAATTAACAGAGGATTAGTTGACCAGTGGACAGTTTAATAGTTATATGCGACTAATGATTTGGAATTCAATTGTTCCACTGGTTCTCAGACGGTTTGCATTAAGTTTTAAAGAAACCCAAACAAGTATATTATATCGAGGGAAGTTATGCATAAAATACTTGTTTTTAATTGATAGTGTAAGGCCAAATACATCATGTGAAAGATAAATAGTTCTAACCAACGATGTAGATAAAATTTCCATTTGTTTTTTAAACTTTTTCTCCTAGGATTGTTATTTTTAGAGATATGGATGTGAAAATGTATGTGATTTTTATAATTTTGTGAAAATTGCCTAACTAGTAGGATACAAATTGAAGACCTCTGGAAAAACGTTGTATACAACAAAATATATTTTTCCAGGAGACAGGATTTATTATCGGCTTTTTTAAACTATGGAACAAAAATATTAAACTTTATTAATAAAACAGTTTTTGATATTATTGTTCCATAGTTTAAAAAAAGTTGATAACAATAAAACCTCCTGAAAAAAATATATTTTGTTGGTTACGAAGTTCTTCCAGACAGGTCCTCAATTATTGTAATCTACTATCTAAAAAATAATGTCGATTATCTTACTTTTCTGAGAATATTGAAATCCTGTGCCATTCCTGAAGAGTCCAATTGAATAATTCAATTCTTCCATTATCTAAACCAGCCGCTAGCAAATATTTATCTGAAACTAAGGCGGGAGCAAAAGCTAAAGCCGTAATAGACTCGTTTTTAAAAACAAAAGGATCAGAGGCTAAACCACATTTTCCGATCGGACCTGAACGTTCTTCATTTTTGTTTAATGACCAAACAGCAATTTTTCCATCTCTAGATCCTGAAAAAGTAACATTAAATAGCTTCTATAATAAAATAAAAAATAAAAATAATAATATATTTGTTTCAATACTCTAAGAACTGTATGTTGTACCATGCGGATCTAGCGTAGTACGTTAGAGGCGTTTCAAATGGTCGTAATACCATTTTGAGTCAAATAACTCTATTTCAATACTTGAAGCGATTCTAGAACTCAATCTTCGACAAATATTAAAAAAAAATTAAAAAAACCGACTTCAAAATCGTGCAGATACCATCACCAAATCTTAAACAAATTCATATAGGATCAAAAAGAATCAAAGAAATTGGAAAAGGTGGTAAAAAATTATCGCTAAAAAAACATAAAAAATGAAGAGTTTGAGTATTTTCTCATGGATCCAATTATTAGATTTAAATCAAATTTATATGGGACCACCCCTGAGGTACCCCCTTACTAACAAAAAAAGAATCATAGAAATCGGACAAGGTGGTAAAGGATTATCGCTAAACATACATACAAAATTAGGAATTTGAGGATTTTCTCGTGGATCCAATCTTTAGATTTTGACCAAATTTATATGGGACCACCTCTTAAGGACCCCCTTTCTAACAAAAAAAGCATCATTGAAATCGAACACCGTTTTAAAGAATTATCGCTGAAGTTTATTAAAAATTGCATAAATTAATGAAACATTTGAACTACTCCGACAATTAAAATTATCGAAAACGTCGTGTTCATAGCAACGCATATATTTCTAGACGACCCTATTTAGAATGACCATACTGGTACTGTAAAAAGCTCGAAGAACGAGAACAGCCCGTTGAAGAAGTTAGTTTTCAGGCAACCACTATCAAACAAGAGGGTGACGAAAACAAAATCGCCCTTGAGAACCTGAAAAGTACTTAAAAGAAAGACAATGGGTTGAAGATTGTCCAAGAATGGCTCAAAAATGGAGTCAAATCTACTTGGCAAGAGACAACCAGATATAGTGGAACTATTACTGAACTCATATCTTCACGATGGTCTATTGCACCGAAAGTGGAAGAGCCCTGATGTAGTTCGCCAATTGGTACTGCTAAAATCACATGTCAGAAGTGTGTTGGAGGAGCTTCATGGCAGGCAGCCATTTAGGAGGACATTCTGGTACTAAAAGGACACTAGTGCCAGTTCGGTAAAGATTTTATTGGGTCAATTGCCGACGGGATGTAGAAGATTGTTGTAAGAAATGTGACTATCAGCAGTTCAGTGCCAACTCAGCGCGTCCTCGGGTAGAGGATAGGAGAACGGCTTGGATTTTCCTGATTAGTTGTATACATAAGTAGAGCGAGAAAGCCTCAAACTCTCAAAATCTTTTGCAAAGGTTCCCGCCGCAAACCAGCTCTCCCAATCTAAGGTGTAAAGATGAATTAATCTAAGGTGTAAAGATGAATTGTCGCAGGGGTAAAAGCGGCAGCCAACGTTCCTCTACGTTGGTCGACCTTTCTTTTACTAGCTACTCTTGGGAACCTTATGGATTCAAACCCACACAAATACAAGGAAGCTTGACGTCAACGTTTATCTCCAGCATAGGAAACTGGACGTTAACATTCAACTCCAGTAAAGGAAGCTGGACGTCAATGTTCACCTCTAGCAAAGGAAGTTAGACTTCAAGTTTTATCTTCAACAGAGGAGACTTGAACGTTCACCACCAGCTAAGGAGGATAAACGTCAACGTTAATCTCCAGCAAAGGAGACTAGACAGCAAAGTTCAGCTCTAGCACAAGAGGCTAGACAGCGACGTACACCTTCAAAATACAAGGATGGACATCGTAAGTCACCTTGAACCGACAGGCACCAGAGATGCAAAATGATCTCTGGTTCTGAAGAAGGCTAAACTGAAGGCAGGCAGAGAGAGCTACAGTACATCTTCTCACCTTCTCCAAGAGGCTCTGAGAGAGGTGGATGCCAAAACACCAAACAATAACAATGCTAGGGGGTGGGTGGCTCAGTGGTAGAGTCTTTGCCTGTGGATCCAAGGGTCCCAGGTTCAAATCCTACCGTTGGCCGAGATTTTTTTATTTAATTTAATTATTTAAAATTAATTCTGATGCCTTGGTAGGATTCCCCACTCGACCATTCACTGTTGAGTTCTAATTAACAGTGCTACTCCTAAAGTAGCGTTGAGAAACAGTAACAAAGCCTACACAGAACACGAGACGAGATAACCTTAGCAGTTGAAGCTGATGACACACACGAAAAAAAAAACAATGCTTTGGAAAAATACTTGAACACTATCCAAAGCACAATAAACAATGCCTATAAGAAATCCTGTCCCCAAGCTGGTCCAACATGATCAGATGACTATAGAATGGTGGTCAAAAGTTGAATTACCTCAAGAAGTAAGAACCACAAAACTCAAAGAGGCCTCAGATACTTACAAATCTTATCTAAAAGAATACAAAAAAATCATTAGACAAAAACTGGCTCACGAGCTAGGAGGTGCCTATGTACTTAAAAGAATGCACAATATGCCTAATGAGACCTAAGTATCGTGATATAATTAATTGGAGGTTTATGGAGGAATGGATTTATTAAACGAAAATATAAAATATATTAACTCTGACAATACAAAATATGTCTGACAATTTTCTAAAAATTAATGTCACACCTATCCAAAATAAATATGAGGGTAACTCAAAAATTATATAATACAAGGTGAGTTCAACTTATTTACAACACGTGGGTTAACCCATCCTCCACACGTTACAGATACAGGGCGTGTTTCGGTGTTAAAACCTTTAGCTGGTTCTAACTATGAACTCTAATATTTTGTGGACTGTATTTAATATAAATTATAAGTTATTTTTCTATTTTAATCTTTATTTCAAATTTCTTTTGACATTGTATTTTTCAATCTACAATCTAACAGCATTTTTTCGCCTTCTTATAAAAATTACATTTTATATAAATTCCACTGGCGTAACAAAAATACTAAACAGGGGAGAAATAAAAAAAAAAACAGCGATACTTTTGACTATTTATCCGAAATATATGAATAATTTAAAATGAAAGCGTTTATAAAATGTCTCTATCAGATGATGTCGAAAATTTTAAAAGTAAGATGCAACATGATTCACTAGTAAATAAATAAATGACTGTTCGGACGACGCGACGGTGCAAAAGTTTTTCATTGGATCAAATCTATAATAGCTATTTATGTAACCAGTTACGGAATGCCTTATTTAGTGTAACGAGGTCCCGCAAAATGAACGATTTTTTCTAATATTTGACTTGATTATTTATAAAATTATGTTTGGTTAAAATATGATTCACCATCATTTTTTTGTAAGTACTTCCAATCAAATATTTCGGAAAATTGTTGTATTTGATTGCTCTACGTTTTTTTTTTTTTTTCAATAATAATAAAAATAAGGGATATGTACAGTGTTGCCGATTATAAACATTTCTGGGCAGTTTTCAATAACGGTATTCAATTATTTAAAAAAATAAAACGCAATTTACAGCTTTTATTTTTTGTTTTCTTTTGTGTTGTTAAACGTAATGTCAAATTGTCAAATGTGAAATGTCACTATTCATTGCCTTTTTTCGGTTTTTCGATTTTTTGATTTTTCGTATTTCGATTTTTCGATTTAAAAACCAAAGAAGAGGCATTTTTATTTATTTTCATTTCGTAACTGTGACAATCAACTTTTCGTAATCAGTTGCAACATACTACGATTACAAAATATGTTACTTTATATGTCAAAATTAGAAAAATAGATTTAATAGTCATATTTTCTTGATATAGATATAATTTCCCTTATACCAACCTGTAGCAAAATACGTAGAATCGTGTGACCAAGAACAACTCCATATTATTCTAGAATGCACGGCTGTATTTTTATCTGTAGTCGCTTCCAATTGAAACTGATCATCCTGTTTAGTAAAAAGTGACCACCGTCTATCTCTGGAAACCGAGAGTAAATGTTTGTTATCCGGCGAAAACTGCAGCTGTACTACCGTAAGAGTGTGAGACATTAGTTTTTGGACGAGTTTCCAATTCGATGTGTCCCTTAAAAATATACATTTATTTCATTTCAGCTAGTTTCAAATTTAAAAATACAGCCAAATGGAAAAAGGTGCAAAAAGGAGGTAACTCCGTTTTTATTAATTTTTCATAAGAAAGTAAAGAAACAATTTAAATTTAATATTTATTTCAATTTTTTTTTTTTAGAATATAATTTAGTAAAGAATATAATAATGAACCGAACTGAAGTAGGGGACAAAAATATATTTCGTATAACCCCTGTATAAATCAACAGAGCTGCCTCGTTCTTGTACCAATCAAAAGAGCGTCCTTTTATTAGTATATTCTACTATAAAAACAAGAATACTATAAAAATGGAGATGACTTCTTTTTGCACTAGTGTCTTCAATTACTGTTCCAAAATAAAGAATTTTAAAACATAAAAAAGACAGGTGTTAATTTATAACGACCATTATAGGCGGACGTGACTAAAGCCATGTATCTCGCGCGAAGAACTGGTCGAAGTGACGTAATCATATGTTTATCTCTTTCATAAAAACATAAAAAGCCGGCGGAGCGATTCGAGCTTCCTAACAGTAAGGATCGTCTCTCCCATACACATAATCAAAAATTCTTTGAGCAACGATATTGTAAAGTCCTAGTACTTAAAAATGTAAGCAGCAGTTATTAAAAAACAAATTTAAATATGTACAAAGTTTTGCCGTGCAGCGTTTGTGCACAATAGTGTTCTTTAAAAAAATATTGAGCTTTCATTGTCCACATGGAGATGGTTGAAGGAAACAGTCCATTTTGGTAAGCGTGCCTTAGGGGGTATTTAATATTTGTGAGGATTCAACCATTGGAAATCCATCAATTACTGTGCATACTGCATATTTATAAAAAATCCCAAAACATTTTAATTTTAGATCATAAAATGACATCCTGTAACATGAAAATTTCACTCCTACCTTCAACCCCTTCCGAGTGATAGTTGCAACCTCCAAATTTTTAAATAGAAAGTAGGTACTTGGGATAAGTACCTCATTTGAAAGGTCTTCATTTTCCATTCAAAAATGCTGTGATTTTCAAATTTATTGCAAAAAATTAACAGTAAAAAAATTAATTTATCTGATCGATGAAATTCACTACAACACCCTAAACAATTAATAACTAATAGAGTGTTGTTTTTAAATATATGTCATTTTGTAATATTTATATAATTATATATCAACAATTTAAACATTCGATTATCTTTAGAAATGTGTCGTTAATAAATATCAATTTCAATGAAGTATAAATGATATAAACATATAAAATTATAATGAAAAATAAAAGCAATAAATTGTTTGAACTTTTACATTAAAAAAATTTTCTTACCACAATAACACAGCAGCATGCTCAGGTTTACTAGATTTACATGCCGATGCAAGGAATTTACCATCAGAAGAAGCAGCCAGACAATACACTTCATAACCATGTCCATATAGTTTCTGAGCTTCAGGCCAAAGGGTATTTTGAACAAGAGTTTCTTCTGTAGGAGGTTCTAAAATTAACAATCTTAAAATAAAGAATGTTTAAATATACTGATGTTGAGATAAATAAAAGTGGACTGTAATAACTAAAAAAAAAACTGGTTCTATTAACAAACAATACAATTATTATGCCTATGCGGCAAAAGAAAGCTTTCAAGAACAGCTTTTTACAAAATTTTAAAAAATTAAACAGCTTTACTCTGTGAAAGTCTGAACGCAATAACTTTTCTAAGTTAAGTTAAAGACCAACCTTATTTCATTGAGACATCGCACCTTTAAAACAAAAGTGACGCTATACAAAAAATTCGTTTAGGGTCCGTTTTTTAAATTAATATTTAATTTTGAAACTTTCTGGTTAACAAATAAAATAAAATTATAATAAATAGTTCCATTAATATCAAAAGAATTAATTGCTGCAAGTAGAGGTATTTTAGTAGTAAACTTTGTAGGACAAAATAAAATATTAAATGTGCTATTCTTATTTTAAATTTTTCTAAAGTGCCACTTTTGTTTTCAATGTACGACATATTTTCTGTTGTTAATAATATCGGGAATCGTGACTCACGCGTATAAAGCACAGAGGCGTACACTTATTATTAATTGGGTTCTTAACAACCGACATAATACCTACATACCTGTTAATTCTGTTGCTGTAAACTGAGATTCCTCTGGATACGGATTTTTCTTATCAATAGGTACAGTTTGTTCAAAATTGTCATCACAATACACAGCCTTATTGGACAAACCTAATGATGGAACCGATGCGCCTTTTGGTCCAACTTGACCAACTAAAAATTATTTTAAAAAATTAAAAACTGATTAAGAGTCGATCTTTTCACCTTTAAGTTACATGTAGGTTTATTTAACAGATTAAGGGCCAATCTTTTCACCTCTGGGTAAAGTTATATGCAGGTTTACTTGACAGTAGCATTGCCTGCCACCTTTGACAGTCTTTTTTAAAGCATAATGTTCTCTCGACTTTTGAAATCTTAAAATGTCCTTTTTTACGATATATGTCCTTATGTCCTGTTTTACTCTTTGATATCTTTGTACAAAAATATACAAGCTGAGAAGCTTTTTTTAGAAGCTCCAGGGAATTTTTTGTTACACGGCCTTTCTTTTTTTTGTTTTTTAGAAATTCAGTAGAAGGATGAGGATTTTTTTTTGTATACCGGATCCCCTATCAGCACCATAGTCATTTATTCACTTTTCAAAAAGGTGGCAACCCTACTTGACAGATTAACAAACAATAGCCCTATAATTTAATCAGCAAGTAGTTACTTTCAACTTTACTCAGAGGTGAAGACTGGCCCCTTAGTATAACAAACTTACATTTCAAAACTGAATCTCCTTCTTCGTCTTTGTCAATTGAACAAATGCGTCTGAAATTTTCAACAAAGTTTATTGGAGCCTGAAAAACTCTTATGACCTTTTCTTCGGCGCCCGAAGCAATTTGATAACGAGATATTACTGCTAATGAATTCATGTCGTAACCGTGCACTTGGGGTCTTGCTATTTCGTGCCACGTAGCCTAAAATGATTGATTGCTTAGTCAGTCATAGAATTATGAAATGTTAAGAGTATGTACTAAAGATATTTTATTTTTTGTTTTTTTTTATTTACAAATAGGTAAAGAAAAAATACCATTTTATCTTCTGTTTTTGAATCGATTTTCTGTTTAAGTTTTTGTTTAAATGTTACAAATATGCAAATTCATATTGTTTTCCTGAAATTTTCAATAATGATTATGGTCAAATGTCGAACACTGGACGAACACAAGTAATTTTAAAACGTCAAAAATATTTATGGTGCTGTAGCATAAACAAAGATATTGTATGTGTTACACATACTAAGATTATTTAAAACATTAAAAAAGGTTAAACTAACATTAAAGCTCAATATTATGTAATTGTTTTTTGAATAATAAAAGGGGAATGTTAAAAAGTTTAAGATCATTATGTAAGTTAGCTAATTTAGGCATTCTAGGAATGCAACTTAAAAATTTGGTTCAATTTATAAAAAAGGAATACAAAATTTTTGTAGGTGCAAGAGACGGAGGATTCGAATCCCAGAATTCAAATCCATTTTAAGGATTCAAGAGCGGTATTCTAATACTTAATAAAAACCGATTCGCCAAAGAGATTCTAAGGGATTCGTATTTAAATCACCAATAATAGGATCGAATCATTATAGAGATCAAACTATACTATTTAGAGCCATCATCATTCTTTTTTGTGTGTGTCATCGGCTTCAACTACTAAAGTTATTTCGCCTCGTGTTCTGTGTAGGCTTTGTAACTGTTTTCCAGTGCCACTTTAAGAACCTGGGACCCTTGGATCCACTGGCAGAGATTCTACCACTGAGCCACCCATTCTTCAATTTTATTTTTTATTTTATTTATTTACGCGCCCTGCCCACTTTCAGTACAGAGTTACAAATAAAAAACAAAAAAACCTCGAATAGAGTCAATCTAAATAATATGTCATAATAATGATAAACTAATAGACTAACAACAAAAATCATAAATATATTAACATGTACAAAAGCGAAACAACTAATAAAACCCACCCCGCATAAACGATGCTTTACACGTCAGTATCCCTTTCAATGATGACGAACTTCACATTATTTGGATATACAGCCACCCACATACTTCAACCGACGATTCTATCTTCAGAATGGCAGGAAGATTCAAATATGTTAATATGCTAATCGGTGACTTCAACCACCGCTCTCCAGACAAATTAAAACAGATTCAAATTTTTATGCATAACAAACTTTATTAAAGCAGATACTCCTTCTACTTTTTTGATGCCCAACAATGAGGACTCAACCCCAGATTTGTTAATGTACACTGAAAATCTTAGCAACGCAATCAAGAATATAGAAGAAGTAATCCCCGACATTGGGGTAGACCACCATTCTATAATGTTTACTATCGAGCAAGGAATATCCTCTGCTTTTGCAGACCCACCTCTTAAATATCATTTTAATAAATCAAACATTGAAAAAATAAATAGAGAAGTAAACCAACTAATTTCAAACAACACTAATATTACTATCAATGAAGTCAATAACTTTCACACAAGGGTCTCTGAGATTATCACAAACAACACACCAAAGACTGCAAACAAATATTTTACTAATGATTTTCCTAGATACATCGTGAAATTCATCAAAACAAAACTTAAAATGCTCAGAGAATACACGCAAAACACTAGTCGGGAAGTCAAAATAAACATCAACAACTTTAACAAATACATTCAAAAATTAGTAAAACAATTTCAGCAACACACATGGCTACAGACCTGCCAAGAAATCAATCGAGAACAAGGAAAAAACTTCTATCATAAAATAAATCAATTGTCAAAATATAAAACAAGGAATAAAATTCCAAATAACACAGACAATAGTATAGACTATGCCACAGATGAAGAAAAGGTCGATGCATTCAAAGAGAACTTCATTAAAATATATAACGGAACGAAAGACCCATCTTTTGAACAAGAAAACTGGAATAATGTAAACTCATGGTGCAAACAATATTTTAGAAACAGCCAAATCAATAAGGAAGATAACACAGATTTCGAGGAGGAAAAATACTTTCAAATACTATCCAATCAGAAAAACTCAGCTCTAGGATCGGACTTGATCCCATGGCAAATTGTGAAAAAACTAGAATATAATATACATATCTATATTATAAAAATGTTTGTATTGTGTTACAAAAACTCGTACTTTCCAGATCAATGGAAAAAAGGCACCACCATAGTTATCCCAAAACCAGGCACAGATCACAAAAGAATTGATAATTGCAGACCAATCACCCTTCTTCCAGTTTTGGAAAAATTACACATTCCAATAGGCAGATGACATGGCCTTGATATCGCATGGAAGTGCCACTAATTTTCATGGGACTGTGGCAATTTTCAATGGGATTGTGGACACTCTGTACATGTATTGCAGGAGTTGGTAGCCCCTTAGGTTTTAAAAATATCTAATAAGAACTCAAAAATAATTCAAAATACTCAAAAATACTTAAGAATATTTAAGAATACTCAAAATACTCAAAAATACTCAAAAATACTCAAAAATACTCAAAAATACTCAAAAAATACTTTAAAATACTCAAAAATACTCAAAAATACTCAAAAATGCTTTAATATTCTTAAAAATGTTTTAAAATGTTTTAAAATGTTTTAAAATGTTTTAAAATGTTTTAAAATGTTTTAAAATACTTAAAAATACTTAAAAATACTTAAAAATACTTAAAAATACTTAAAAATACTTAAAAATACTTTAAAATATTTAAAAATACTTTACAATACTTAAAAATACTTGCAACAATGTGTAGCTTCCACTAAAGCAATTTGTTAGTGTGATAAGAGCTAAATAAACAGAATTTCTCTCCCTTACTTACTTTCTTATTTTGTGATTTCCATGGTGCATGTATTCTAGTAGTTTGATCACTGCTTAAAGTAAACAAAAACTGTCCCTGTGGTTCCCATGCGCAATCTATTACTTCCCCAAAATGACCTCCTAAGGTAACACATGGTAACCAGCAGTTAAGCTTTTCCGAGTTTTTCCAAATGTGAAAAGCACCGTGATAACTATGCCCTAAGACTGTATCACCTGTTGGACCAAAGAGTCCACCGTAAAAGCCAAGAGTATTACCTGAAATGTAGGAAAATCTATTTAACACCATGAAGGAAAAATTGGAAATATGTACAGCCAGTCATTAAGAAATAAACCAAGCTTAAACTGACATTTTTCCATTAATAACGTCATTTTAAACAACGGTGGAATCGGCCCTTACAATATTACCTCCTATTTCTCCTACCCTCATTTTCTCCAGCCATAACTCTGAATTTTCATCATATTCCCATATTATCATACTCTTGTCGATCGAAGCTGATAACAATTGCTTTCCACTTGGACTCCATTTTACCGAATATACCCAACCTTCGTGTCCAGAAAGGACAGACTCTGTATATACATTGAATTTTTGATATTTTGTAGTTATTTGAGTCTTTTCAATCATTTCTGTACCCAAAGTTTTCTCAGTTAAGCGCCATAGTCTAATAAATGCATCTTGTGAACAAGACGCTAAAACAAGGTCATTGCCTAAAATAATAAAGAGTTTTATAAATTGTGTTACCTATACAGGGTGTTTGGTAAAAATGCAGCAAAAATAAAAGGGGTCATTTTTTGGACTATTCTAAGAATATTTTGTTATTTAATGATTGTTTCAAACAAAATTTCTACAGTAACAACATTTTATTATTAAAAAATACATATAAAGTTGCTTAATCTACAAAATAACTTCCTCCAGTTTGGAAACAAGCATTCAATCTTCTCATCAGGGGGCGTCCATTAATTACGTGAGGTATTTTTGAGGATTTTTGGACTCCCCCTCCCCCCCTGGCGAGATTTGGTAAGATTTTCCTTAACTCCCTCCCCCCTTCCCTAATCTCGCGTGAGATTTTTCAAAATTCGTGTTTTGGGTGTAAATGTGTTGGATTATTAAAAAAAAAAACAAAAACACAATATGTTCGATTACTTTTATTTAAGACTATTAAAGACTAGTGTTTGAGAGTGTTGCAATTATTTAAAATCACATTAATAAAATTAAATTATAAATACTTAAATGGAAATTAATAAAAAATAAATAAACATAATTATAAGATTTTTCCATATTTTATTCTAGAAATACTTTTACCATAATTTAACTTTACTTTCATGCAATTTTACACCGTTTTCTACTAGAAAAAAAATTACTTAAGTGAGATTTAGAAAGATTTAGTTTTATCCTCTCCCCCCCCTTGAACACATCACGTAATTAATGGACGCCCCCTCACTGACTGCCGAACTCTTTTAAACCAAAGCAGGTTTTCACAAATCATCAAATAACAAAATATTCTTAGAATATTCCAAGAAATAACACCTTGCATTTTTGCCGCATGTTTACCAAACACCCTGTAATCTGAACTTTCGTAAAACGCAAGTTTACCATCTACTGTCAAGTCAAGACCTCGTACCCAATCTTCGTGACCTGTTAGTATGGTAGATTTTTCGTATTCAATAATATCAGATTTGGTTTCGGAAAAAATGTGTATTTTTGAGTCGTCCAATGCACAAGCTAATAGCAACTCATTACTGTTGGGTAAAAATGATAGCCTAACAGCAAGTCCAATGTGATAGTCAAAATTAAGGGTTTGATTCAATGTAAAATTATCTAGAAATATAAATATGTTCAGATCAATGTTAGATACAAATATGGCATATTCTATAATAACTTTATACAGATTCAGAGTTCGCAGATACAGGTTTTTTTATTCCTGGGTTTTTTCAAAAACCTAAAAGTGAAAATTCTGCAATTTTAGATTCTTTTAAGATATTAGCACCCAGTATTATTTAAAAAGTAAAGTTTTATAATGTTTTAAGAGCCCAAAATAGCCTAAAAATGTGGTGTGGTTGTTTTTAGAAAAAAGCTTTATAAAACAGAGGTGCTGTGTTGGATTCCTTTAAATCTATCAATACACCTGTATTTTTAACAAATACGATTTTTTTTTCGAAAAGTTTTATAATATTTCAAGAGACTAAAAATGGCCAAAAACTAAAGTAAAAGTAGTTTTCAGAAAAAAAAAAATAAACCGAGCTGCTTTGTTGATTTATTCCAACGAAGCACACTGTATTATTTTTTTTTTTGGTATAGTTTTATAATATTTCAAGAGCCTAAAAATTGTCTTCTTTTTAGAAAAAAATTTAAAAATACTGAGGTGCTCTGCTGCCTTCTTTGGCGTAAGGTATGTTTGTATTTTTTGTTTAACTTTATTAATAATAACTTTTGACATATATAAATCAAAAAAACCTTTAAAATACCTATAAAACCTTAAAATACCGTTAAAAAAAAATAATAAAAAAACCTAAATAATCTAAAAACCTACTTATATACTTTTAATCTTAGGTTTTTTTCCAGCCTGTATAGATTGTCTTGAAACACATTTTTTTGTAACTTGGCACATTTTACTGTGAGGTAGAGAACCCTAACGTAGATTTAAAACAAAGTTTAAAACTATTCTAAAATATCTTTATTTAACCCTGCATCAGACGTGGAGAGTCGCAATGGGTCGCCTGATCCACGAGTACTAAATACCCTATATTTCAATTGTTTCAAAAAAAAAATACATCTTATTCTGTCCAATTAACTCTCGCTTATATAGTGACTAAATAATATAATTTACGTTTATAAAACAAGTACCTACTAGATAAAAAAACTTCAATATAATGCATGCAATAATTTGTTTACTAATAAAATAAAATAGATAGATTTTGGTTATTTTATTATAAATCATGCCAAAAAAAGGCAGCAAAGCACCTAGGGAATTTTGAGTTAACACCTATGCCCTATTTTTAGGCTATTTTTAGGATATTTTTATACTCTTGAAATATTATAAAATATTCCAAAAAAATATGGTTATTATTTTGCTGATTCATTCGATGCCATAAAATCACACCCGTATTTTTAAAAGTGCATTTTTTTGTAAAACTTTTATAACATTTCAAGAGCCTAAAAATGTGGCATACTTGTTTTTAGAAACAAAAAATACCTCTAAGAAAACCATGGCATAGTTCGAAGTTAACAAAGCACCCTCTGTATCTTTAAAAATGTTAAAAATGTTTTTCGAAAAGCATTATAATATAACAAGTACCAAAAATAGCCTAAAAATGTAACCTAGTTATTCAAAAAAAAAAAACTTATAAAAACATAAACTTAAAAAAAAAACTAAAAAACTTAAAAAACCTTAAAATTCTTTAAAAAACTTAAATAAGCTTAAAAAACTAGAAAAAAACTTAAAAACCGGCTTCGTGCTAGCAAAACACCCTAAATTATTTAAAAATAGCAATTTTTTAGAAAAAAAATTAGATTTTAAAAGCCTAAAATGTGGTGTTTTTAGTAAAAAACTTTTAAAAATTTAAAAAAACAACTGTTCCTTCTGGTTTTGTTCAAAACTAGCAAAGAAACCAATATTTTTTAAAAATACCATGTTTTTTGAAAAGTTTTATATTTTAAGAACCTAAAAATAGCCTGAAAATATGGTGTAGGTAATTGTTAAAAAAAAAATAAATAAAAATACTGAGGTGCTTTGCCGACTTAGCTAAGCATCCTCTGTATCTGTAACGTGTGGAGGGTGGGTTACCCCCACGGCACTTAGGCCTCATTAGGCCCATTGTGCATCCTCCTAAGATTATAGGCACCTCCTAGCTCGTCAGCCAGCCTACATATTTAATGTAGTTGACAACGTCGCCAAGAGGTGCTTCTATATTAGTTAGAAATAGCAATTTTAAAAAAAAAAAGTTATAATATTGCAAGAGCATAAAAATGGCCTAAAAATGAGGTGTTGTTGTTTTCAGAAAGAAACTTTAAAAAACGAGATGTATGCTTGCTTGCTTCTTTTAAAGCCAGAGCTTCCCTTTTTTTTAAATATTATTTTTAAGTTCAATAATATTTCAAGAGCCTAAAAATATGCTGTGGTTATGCTTGAACAAACTGGAGTGCTTTGCTTCATTTAAGCAAAGCACCTTGACATTAGTAACAAATGAGGGGCATAAACTGTTTGAATATAGTATAAAAATAGCCTAAAAATATGGCCTAGGTTTGCTTTGCATTGCTGTCTTCTTTGACATCCTATTATTCAGATCTAAAAGCAGTTTCCTCTACAATGTTTCCTTCTAAGCATTTTTGACAATCAGTATTTACATGTCGATTCAAACACAAATATGCAAGAGATTATTCACGTTGGGTCGATTAGAACTATTATCAGGATTAGCAGGTACAGGTTTTTCTGCATATACGTTTTTAAAATTTTTTAAAAACCTAAGGTGAAAATTTTGTATTAAGAATTCACAATTTTACTAATTAAAAAGGGTGCAAAAATGAGTCTATATAAAACCAAATGCAAACCTTTCTTTAAAGGTTATAACTACTTGATTTTGATATCAATGATAGTGACAATTAAAAATTAAAAAAAAAAAAAACATTTATTTGTTTTTCCCTTTTTTGTTTGTTTTTGTTTTGTCGTTTTTTTTTTGTTTTTTTTTTTTGTTTCCAGTATGTGATTTTTTTAATATAATAAAATTCTATTTTTCAAGATTTGCTTGTATTATTTGTTTAACTTTATTAATAATAACTTTTGACATATATGAGCTAAAACCCTTAAGAAACCTATAACACCTTAAAAAACCTAAGTGACCTACTTACATATTACTTATTTCTTAGATTTTTTCCAACCCTGACTAGGACTCAATTTGCACAAATAATGACAATTTGCAATGCAATAAAAATAATTCTGTCCATTAAATTCAGGCAAACTATTCTTAGAAGATGCCCAGACGTCACAATTTTACTCAAATTATCTTTTTTGTTGTATTAGATATGTAATCTAAAGGTACACAAAATGTACTGTTTAGTTAATGCAAAATCCAACATATTCCACAATAAACCCAAGGTAAAAATTTCAAGTTATATGCAAAAACTTACATTAATTTTAAATAAACCTGAAATTGTAAATCCTGGAAACTCTTCGACTACACTGACTGAGATGGATAGGACATTTTGTATGGATGAATCCTGTAATTTCGATCTTTAAACCTTTATAGGTTTGAGTTTATTTTTGTCTAATATGTTCATTTGTTTGTATTTTTTCTTTTTTGACGTACTTTATGTTTATTTTAAATAAAATACATTTTGTTTTTTACTCTTTTGTCTTGTTTTAACTGTTTAGTTTAGTTCCAAACTCAAAAAAATCATAGATTTTTGTGCAAAACCTGACTTGTCCAAATTTTGATCTCTGATTATGTCAAAACATGCAGTTCTATTTTTTTTTAATTATATTTAACCATATTTAACTGTCTATGATGATAATATTTATTTATTTATGACAGGATTGATTACAGTAATAACATGATTAATTACAACAATAAACAAATTATAAATTAATCATAGGTAAATAAGTTAGCACCTAGGTGTGGGCACCTGTATGAGACTAAAAAACTAATACATAAAGATTAAAAAACTAAAATATAAAGTTAATGTATTTTTATATAAATGTTAAATGTAATAAGGCAGCAATGTTATATTATATAATATGTAATAATGTTATAATCTTGTAATCTACAGGGTTCCAACATATTACAGTGAGATGAGTGTTATTCTAAGAAGAATCTATACAATTTTGCTATAATCATTTTTATAATCCAAGGAATATAATGTCTAATCATTTTTTCTGATTTCCCCAAAGTCTATCATGGACTTGTCAAGTTTAGTCAACTGATATTACATATAACCAAAATGTTGTAATTACATATAACCACAATGTTGTAACAATAAAAAGGCCAATTTATAAACTTGCAGTTGTATGTACCGTTCGCAGTTGCAGATCCCATTGTAAGTTAAGAAGCTACTTTTACAATGGCACACTTATATTATCTGTTGCTGTCACCGTTTGCTGTTGCAAATTCAAACATAACAAAGATTTTAAGTACAACAACGACTGCAACGTCAAACAAACGGTAACGGAACTGCAAGTTTATTAATTGACCTTAGTAGTTGAAAAAAAGCTGACAAACCTATACGTGACTAACGAATGGTTAATTTTATATTTATACATACCTGTTAAATTTTGTCTGAACCAAATTTTAGCAGTCCGGTCCATAGAAATACTAACAATTACAGCACTGCTACAATTTTCTCCTTTGTACAATCCATCTACAATATTCACATTCAACGTGTGACTTTTTAATATTACTGATTCATATTTATCATCAACTAATGTCCAAACACATACATCTCCATCTGTTGAACCAGAAATTAGTTCTTTTTCATTAATGATATCTTTACCAGTTAACCATTTAACGGAATTGACTCGCTTTGTGTGTTTAATTAAAACGTGCGTTACCTTTCCACCACTTCCATACTATAAACGAAATAATTTCTAATTTATATAAATAGTACACTATAAAGAATAAATACTTACATTTGAATCATAAATAAAAACCGAATTACAAGAACCGTAGCATATTAAATCGTTTTTACCCCAGTCTACGACAGTAGGAACTTGGTTGGAGTTGCTAGAAGTGTAACAGGTAGTTAATTTCATAATTTAATAATAATTTTAGTCCGTACACAAGTTTGAATTGTTTTTAAAATTTAAAAGTAAAGCAAAAAGCATGAAATCCAATGAAATCAAAACATGAAAAGCTATAACCTAAATTTTTCTTCTTTAATATTTCTAATGGGCCTCGTTCATAAGATTCGATGGATACTTGAAATTTTCTATTGGCTGTATACAGTATACATAATTTACACGCTATATTCTATAATTTACAGGGTGGTACTTTAGAATACAAATAAATACTATCTTTTCCAATTTCCAATAGTAGTACCATGGTGATATCTACCAGGGGCTCGATTCTCGAGTTCATTGGAAAATTTTCCCATGGGAAAAGATTCCACTACTTATATTCCCATGGTAATAGGTTATGCAATTCTCGAACTTGTCGGAATAGACATTCCCATGGAAATAATAGTTTCACGTATGTCTGATATTAAGTTCACGAATATTTCGAAATAACCAATAGCATTAAAGATATTTTAAAATTTACTGTTGGTATAATTTGTATTTGTTGTGGTTTTTGGGTAACCGATTACCTGCCGAGCCTCTGCGCTGGAGCAGATGCCGTGCCGAGCAATCGCATGGCAATCGCTAGCTTGACCGAGGACAAGTGAAAATATTCGATTATGTATAATTAAAACTTTTCGAGTTATTTTTAGTTTTTCTTTTCACATATTGAAAAAAGAAAAAGTAGCTTTTGTATAGAAGAGCAACGAAAGTTTCGAGAAACTAAGAAATTCTTTCGTTAACGGAAATAATAAAATTTTCGAAAAGGTCTTATTAAATTTACTACAAATTTCTCAATTTGTGTTACCTATTTGCCAGTCTCTTAGCAACTCCCACAATTTCTAACTAATTTAAGAAAATCAGTTTCTTAGTGAAAAAGAGGTAAAAATAATATACCCACATAAATAAAATAATATCAATTTATAAATACACAAAAAAAATGTTTTAACTACAATTTCACCAAAAATCCAAGATATCCAATAATCTTTGGTTATGTCTTAGTCTTTCGCGTGGTCTTTCGTCAAATTTTCGACTTTAATGCGCAAACTCTAGTACAATTCCCATTGGAAAACACAATTTCCAATGCTCATAAGCAGGGGAATATTTTCCCATACTTCTTATTGGAAAATATTCCACCGCTTATGCCGAGAATACGAAAACTGAATTCCCATGGGAAAATTTTATTTTCCCATGGGAATAAAAGTCGAGAATTGACCCCCTGGGGGTCGATTCTCGACTCGTAGGAATTTTTTCCTATAGGAATTTTTGACATTTTTCTACACATCGGAAATTTATGACATTTGTCTACATGTAGGAAAGTGTCACAAATTCCTATTAGGCATTCCAACGACCTATCCAAATGGCTACCAGTGGGTAATGACAGTTTAGATATGGCAACCCTGTTGTCATGTTGACATTAATAGGGTCAATGATACATATATAGTTATATAGATTGCTCAAAGCTGGTTGTTTGCGTGTGGCCATATTGCCTGGCAAATATTTATTAATTTGAATCGGTTTAGCAAAAATGTGTTTTAAAACCAATTGTCAGCCTTTAGATATTTAAAAAATAATAACTGCTTACATTTTTACATCAAGGCATAAGCTTATGTTTATTTTGAAAAATATGAATGATCAATCTATGTAACTATCTATTTCATTGACCTTGTCAAATCACCAGGCCTACAGGGTTGCCATAATTTTGCCATATCAAAACCCACTGGTAGCCATTCAGTTTGGAATGCCTAATAGGAAAAGGTTCCTACAAGTCGAGAATTGACCCCCAGCTGTCAGTACTTACAATTTAAACATCTGTCAAAATTTATCAGTCTCGTAATTGCAATGAACGTTCTTGCTACCGGCTGCGATATAGGCTTTAAACTCTACAGGATGGGCTACCGGTAACGCCTCGGTCTGTGAAGCCAAAACTATTTGATTTTTTTATAATCTGTATTCACTGCAAGGTGTATAACAAAAAAGACAACAATTTTAAATTAATTTCAATTATACAGGGTTCTCCAAAAAAGTGCTACATTTCAAAATTAGGTTTTTGAAATGGGACACCCTGTAGGGGAGAGGGTGGATGATTCGGCCAGTTTGTAGAAATTAACTCATAAAACCCATATTTCTTGTTAAATATTGAGAGTTTGTATTGTTTCATAATCTTTAGACTTTTCTAAGACTATTAAAACCCAAAATAGTGACATAAACTTATTTCCAGAATTTTTCGCAATAAATATAAAAATATAAACAATTTGGTCGAATCCTCCACCACCGGAGGCAGATTCGGCCAGTACTGAGGGAGGATTCGGCCTATCTATAAATTAGTATAAAAGATATCGATATTGGCATAATATTAAATATAAAAGTTGTATAACTTCAATTTAGCAAAAAAAAAGTTTTTCTCGATGAGTATACAGGGTGGCTCACGCTCAACGGGACGGAGCTTTATGGGAAAACGACCAAAGATATAAAAAATTCGTTTGGGAGGAATACGTAGGTTACAGACGGCTACAATTTAAAATTTGTTAGATGTATACAGGATGTCCCACATATGAAAAAAAAAATAGTTCATTAAAAATTATTCAAACAAGAGTAAACAATTAATTTCTGGGAGACTTTTTTTCCTTAAAAATTCAAATAAATCGAAAACTAATAATAATAGTAATAGGGAACCTTTAGTTAACTGACATTATTTTTGATGTAGTTTTTAATTCTAAAATAAAAAACAGGGTGTTCCATTAAAAATAATATAACTTTGTATATTTTCTCTTATGTGGGACATCCTGTATACATCTAACAAATTTTAAATTGTAGCCGTCTGTAACCTACGTATTCCTCCCAAACGAATTTTTTATATCTTTGGTCGTTTTCCCATAAAGCTCCGTCCCGTTGAGCGTGAGCCACCCTGTATATTGAGACAAAAGTATTTTGAAGAAAAATATAAGCTTTAAGGAACATCGTCCCATTCCTTGGACATTATAATTGATTGATTGAGTTCGTGTAGTTCTAGCTTTTTGTGGTTGTGCAAGCCAAGCTTCAATTTCATTAACTTGCACCATTCCTACATCATTAATAATCGGAAAATGGAAGCTGGTTAAATTTCTTTCACCTTTTAAATTTTTCCTCCTTTTTCTTCTAAATTCATGTTCACTCATCAGAGCCTACCTCTGGAACTATGACACTTTGTGTTTTTTGTTCCCAATTTTTGTGTCTCCAACCATGAATTCGCTGGTTGAGAAACTTTGAACTTTAAGGACTGAATATCAGGTTGACCCATAGGGACTGCGGGTTCTGTTGTGCCAGTTTTAGCTTTCTGAAAAACGTTCTGTAGAGCCCGGGTTCACATAGCAGAATCGCGTAGGTATTATTTTTGTTTTGACATTGAATTGAACTTTTGAATTTCTCAAACAAAAAAATAAATAAAAAAGTAAAACATAAATTACATTTCAAATTTAATCATCCTTTAAATATAACTTCCTTCTCCAATCGCAACTAGGCCTGAGCAACTTCACCTCGAGCGAGGCTTCGGCGGTGCCGTTTTTGTTTCTTCCCTAGAACCAACGATGGCACAACGGGATCTATTCAGGCCTAGTCGCCGATGGAGAATAATTATTTCTGAATATAAGACATTTTCTTGTGAAATATAGAAGCGTATTGCATTTTTTACAATCAGTTCATCAACTTCTCTGTCAATTTTGCGTTTATAATGGGTGTATCTTATAGTGGTACCCGATGTTTTTTCAAATAACTTGACAACCGGGTGACAGATCGCCATGTTTGTTAATGTTTTAGAAACGTCAGTCCAGTACAATTTTAACAATAAACCACTTTAAACCACAAGAACGTGCTGAAATTGTAAAAAATTATTTTCAAAAAAACTCCTATTGCGTGCCATGTTCCCGAATCGATTGATATCGAAATACGGCGATTTCGATTGGCCGGCTCATTCGCCAGATTTGACCGTACCTGACGTTTTCCTGTGGGGATACCTGAAGGGAAAAATTTATGCCGATAAACTAGCTACTCTCCAACAACTTAAGGCTAACATAGCCGAGAAATCGCTGCCATTCAACCCGAAACACTCCAAAAAGTGATGGAAAATGCTGAAAAACGTAATGCAAACACAGGCTAGTCTTTGTACTTTTGAGATATTAGCTGTCGTAGTAGCTAAACTAGTTCTGTTACTCCAGGCTATAACCCCGTAAGTGATGATTGGTCTCACTATTGCGGTATACATTCATCGCAGTATGTCCCTTTCTGGATACTTGGACCTTGAATATTGGACATTCAAAAAGGTCCGTTCTTGAGTTATATTCCATTGAGACCACATCCCCACTGGTCAATATAAGAGAAACAACTCTTGGCGACGTTTTCAATTAAATTAAATCTATCTACTTACCTATCTACTTATTAGGATGCACAATAGGCCTAGTGAGGCATAAGTACCGTGAATCAACCCACCCTCCACACGGTACAAATGCAAAGATACACAAGTCCAGGCCCTCGAAAACAGTATGGCTAAGATGATGCATTAAAGAATTAAAGATCATCTAGGAGAAATAAAGTTTCAGCAATAATACTATAACAAAATTAAGTAGTAATATATATTTTAATAATACAACAAACTTACAACTAGACTTCCACAGCTTATGAATACATAAAAATCACTAAAAATACCATTATAATAAAAAAAACTCCCTGCCCAATAATCACTTAATATTAGTTTACTTTTTTGCCTTGGATTTGGCTTGTTGTTGCCTTCTTTTATTTGCCAAATATATTGTCCAAAAGAATCCCATTAAGTTGGTTATAAATACTCGCATCTAAAAAACAAAATGAAAACTAGCAAAACAGTAATTTTCTACAAGGGGATTCTAGTTCTTTAAAAATGAAATACTATATTGTATAATGTAGTTAAATTTCGTTTTATTTCAAATAGTTTAACGATAGTTTGAAACAGTCCACTCAAAAAGAAAACGAAGAGTAGGAACAAATGATTTATATCCGAGGGGTAATTAAGGGAATAATCAAGAAAAAAAAAATAAAAGAAAAAAAAAAGATAAAAAAGAAGAAAAATAAAATAAAAACAAAAAATAAAAGAAAAAAGAAAAAGAAGAAAAAAGAAGAAAACGGAAGAAAACTGAAAAAAAAAAGAAAGAAAAAAAAAAGGAAAAAGAAAAAGATATAAATAGAAAAAAAGAAGAAACAAGGAAAAAAGATACAAATAAAAAAAGAAAAAGACGAAAAAAGAAGTAAAAGAAGAAAAAAGAAAATAGAAAAAAAAAAGAAAAAAGAAAAAAAAAAAAGAAATAAAAAAAGAAATAGGAAAAAAGAAGAAAAAAAAAGAAGAAAAAAAAAAGAAGAAAAGAAAAAAAGAAAAAAATAAAAAAGAATAAAAAGCCAAGAAGAAAAACAAAGAAAAAATGAAAGAAAAAGGAAAAAAGAAAGAAACAAGTAGAAAAAAAGAAGAAAAAAAAAACGAAAAAAAAAAAACAAAGGAAAAAGAAGAAAAAAGAAGAAAAAAAGAAGATAAAAGAAGAAAACAGCAGAAAAAAAGAAGAAAAAAGAAGAAGAAAAAACAAAAAGGAAAAGAAAGAAAAGAGAAGAAGAAAAACAAAGGAAAAAAAAGAAAAAAAGAAAAAAACAAAAAAATTAAAGAAAAAAAGATGCAAATAGAAAAAAATTAAAGAAAAAAAAAAAGATACAAATAGAAAAAAATTAAATAAAAAATGGAAAAAAGATACAAATAGAAAAAAAAGAAGAAACAAAGGAAAAAAAAGATACAAATAGAAAAAGAAAAAGACGAAAAAGAAGTAAAAGAAAAAAACAAGAAAAAAGAAAAAAAAAGAAGAAAACGGAACAAAAGAAAATAAAAAGAAGAAAAGACAAAGAAAAAATGAAATAAAAAGAAATAAAAGGAAAAAAGAAGGAAAAGAAGAAAAAAGAAAACAAGAAAGAAGAAGAAAAACGAAAGAAAAAAAAAGAAAAACAAAGGAAAATAAGAAAGAAGAAATCGTATAAAAAGGTGAATTTTCAGCGACATTATCGAAATCATGGAAAACATTTGTTATGTGATTTCCGAAATAGAGGTAAATTTTGACCTTGGTGTTTCCATCTCGTTTATATCATTGCTGATATGTAGGGACAAATGCATTTTTCGTAATTTTCCAGTAAATTTTAACTTTACTTATTGATTTTAAGAGATATGTAAGTTTAAAATCCATCCAATATTCACTATAACACCTCCTCCATTCATTTATTCCTCATCAATACTATGTATGTTGAATCTCAAATTATTCAACCAATATTAAAATAAAAATGTAGAACATTTGAAAATATTATTAAATTTTCAATTCAATCACTAAAAGCAAATAAAAAATAATGAATACAATTTTGATAAAAATGTCTATGATTTATGAAGCATTTTTAAAAAGTAATGATATGAGATTTGATAAAAATATTATTATCTCAAGATAATTATAGTTTGTTGAAAATTCAAATGTGATAACAGGACAACTTTAAATAAAAATTAAAATTAGAATGAGTACGATATTATACAAGTTGTAGGTTGGGTTCGAATACTGCAGCAATAAAAAAGGTCAAAAAGCCCGACTTTTAATTATTACCGACGTTTAGAAATCCTAAAAATTTGATTTATTTATTAAAACAAAATACAAACAAAACAGAAAAAGTTTTATTTTTTCAAGCTAAAACTTATTAATTATTAAGAATCTTAAAAAAGTTAGTTTTCCAGCTTTTTATACTCCTAGTCGGTTACGTTTGTGTCTTCAGAAACTGTAGTGACTAAGATACACTATATATCTTCTTACATTAGTACGTTACACACTTTTTGTCGCCATTCACTATGTAACAGCCCTAGTAAATGACAAGGTTAAACTCACCTTCTTGGCAACTTCGGTTGCCAATATTATTGTGTATTATAATATACATGTTAGCATACATCTGCCCCCACTACATGTTCTCGCAAAAAGTTTGTTTTAAAAAAATGACGTCAACCGAATTCCAAACCGATAGTCTCAAACATTGAAATATCTTATTGATATATTAATAATTAAACAATTTGTAGTAAAAACATTAAAGGGAACGATTATTCCAACTAATGCACGTGCTTTTTTGAGACTTGATACCCAAGTTGTTTACAATATTGGTATTTGTGATTTAATAGTAATTTTGCCAATTATTATATTAGAGATCGTTCCAAATAGTGTGATTCCAGAAGATGTTGATATTATTATTGGATGCAATGTTATATGCCGTATTGATAAAAATGACAAAGACTCTTTGAAAATAAACGTGAAGAAAAATTTTACAAGAATAAAACATATAACTACCGAAAAAATGTCAATTAGATTAAAATGCAGTAATCCAGTGGCGTATCGACGAAGGCGAATGGCGTATCAAGACATAATTCAGCTAAAGAAAATTATAAACAGTGGAATTATTCGCAGAAGTCACTCAAAATGATGGTGGGTGAGATTTTTCGGGATTTCCTTATCTATAAGTCAAATGTCACCATCAATCAGCTTCAAGTCACCCTGAAGCGCCACGGCAAATAAAATGATAGCCATCTCTTCCCTACATCAGCCCTGTCGGCTTCAGGGGTTGAACTTCACCCGTTAGAAGGATGAATTAGGAAGAGTATTATTATTAAATTATAAAATAGTCCTATTATATTTACATTTCAGCAGTAATACTCTCCCCTTTCTTTTTATTGTGTTGTATATTATAATGAAATGAGTTCTACTAAGGTAAATAGGTACTAATGTCTGCTGGAAAAAGGTTTACAAGAAGAGACAAGAAATACGCGCAGGAATTTCACCTGATCTTCAAGCCATTAGCGTGGAGTAGCAAGATTAATTCGCACGAAGATCCATTTGCCACTTGTCAATTGTAATAAAGCGCTCCCCAGTCAAACAACTTTAGCAGCATCGAACTCGCTTTCGAGGACGACGAAGCAGTAAAAGAAGAAGCAGTACTAGAAGAAAAAGAAGAAGTAACGAAGAAGAAACCTAGGAAGCAGTCTACGGTAGTGACGAAGAGGAGAAGAGCCAAGGGAGAACTGAGACTGGTGACGTAACTGGAGCGGGCACAACCTACTGGGAGGACACCATTACCTCACATAAAATAGAAGAGACAGTTAGCGCCGATTCCACCGTTGTGTTAAACGGAGATTAAAATGACATTGTTAATGTAAAAATGTCACTTTAAACTTCGTTTAACACAACGGTGGAATCGGTCCTTAATGGAATAAACTTGACAAGAGGATCTGGAAAAACTCTACGAAGAAACCCAGAAGACAAACGTGGACAGTCCCAATCAGGAGGATCTCGTAGAGCCGGAGTCAGAAACGAAAGAGGATCAAAAGAGATCGAAAATGGCAGATCAAAGATTGATGCCATCAATGAAGATAACAAACCGGACGCACCGCAATTTATTCCTCCGCCTACATTTAACACGTGTACAGGAAATCCTCATTCCTTTATCGATATATACGAGCGGACAGCCATCGCAAATGGATAGACCAATGGACGAAAGATCAATTACTTAGCGTCATACTTAGAGGGGGCCGCAAACGTATGGTTTCGTCGATACAAAACAAAAGTGGAAAACCATAACGATAAGAAAAGAGTTTTTGGCAGAATTCGAGAAAGGGGACATGAACCGTAACTTGGAAACCCGACTTTTGGCGAGGAAGCAGAGGAAAGCGTATTATTACGATCTAACGACATTATCTTACGAATATGACCTAGATATGGATTCAGAGAAGTTTCGCAAGTTCTTCGAGAACGATCTCAGTCCAGACATGTTCAGCACTTATAGGATCCTACGGGAAACCCCAAAGACGATGGAAAAGTTTAAAGGAATTGTTTTAGTCTAGAAGACATAGCTGTCCATGCCGCCGCTATATCAGCCCAGAATGCATTGACTGCTGGTTTTAAGGACCTCGCCCTTTATACGAGGGAACAGGGAGCGTCTCAGCCGGGTCACTCAAACTATAGTCCCACATTACCTGATGGTAGGAACGGTGATGGCAGCGGACAATCTTCTGGCAGAGCTCGGTTGTCAAATTCAAGACCTCCGAAGGAGTACAGGAAGTCTGAACCAAGTACTTCCAGAGGACGAATTAGGCATAGAGGTGCGTCCTCATATGCCCAGGCTACAAGAACCCATGATGGTAGGCCTCGGTGTTAGAATTGTAACAGACCAGGTCACTTTGCAGCCACTTGTTTCCAAAAACCGTTTGGACCACGACGGGGTTACCCAAACGGGAACAGGCGAGGCTAGTAACACCTCGTCTCGTCTTGACTACGCGACAGGGGAAGTCGTCAGGCCACAATGGCGTTCTTACCATACAGCTACTGGTAAATGGAACCCTGTCACGTGCTATTGTGGACACAGGCTCAGCCTGTAACATCATCAAAGCAGGTTCAGAAAACAACATCGACACAAGGGGTAGCCGCCCTTTGCTGGTGGTGGGCAACACTCGGGTTTTCACCAACGGTAAAAGCGACGTAGTAGTTGTCATTGGAGGAATAACAACCACGGTAAAGGCCTTAGTGGTCGAAAAACTACCGATATCCCTTATCTTGGGAATGGGCTTCCTGAGGGAGCACCAATCCATAATAGATATAGCAAAGAACCATGTCACCCTTAAGGTGAATGGATCGGAAGTAAAGGTGCCTTTTTTAAGAGATAAGCCATCTACAGCGAACGTCAGTTGCCAAGTCGTACCACTATCAAAAGAAAAAGAAAGGGACTACAAACAACTACAGAGACGAGTGCATTAAAACAACGGTCCAGGCACTAGCGAGTGCCAACAAGGATGAGAAAATGGATAGGAAGGGCAACAGTACCGGAATAGAAGGTAGAAAAGTGAAGAAGATGAAAGAAATGGGAAACAGCGTGGTAAATGGAAACAACGATGGAAAAAATGGACAGAACGCGAAGGAAAATATTAAGGAAGAACAATTTCAAAGAATAGATGAAGATGGAAAGGATTCGGATGACGAAACTGATGTTCCGAGTCAGATAACCGTGGAAGCTATGGTACAGCGAGAAGCTGAGGAAGTGATGGTATATGGAAACTCAGAAGAAGAGACTCCGATGGCAATGTTGGCAAGGGAAGACGAAAACAACAGTGAAACCGATCCTTATGTTAAAAAGGAGAGTATGGGAATGGAGATACGGAACCAGTAACTGAGAACAAGCCAGAAAAAGTGGATTTAAAGGAAGATATGGTACTGAAACCCTGGCAAGATGCGGTCATAAACCTACATCCGAGAAAGCAGGGAAAATTTGTGATTAAGGAGCAATTTTTTATTGAACGATGTCTCGTTTGTCGTCAAATAATGGAAGAAAAAGAAAAGTTACAGATAATGGTCACAAATTTCAACAATGTGGATAAGAAATTGCACAAGGGTGCCACAAAGTTTTAATACTTTATACGGAAACCGATGAGGAAGATGTGACATTAGTTGATCAAAACAGATCACATATCCGATGGAAAAATGAGAAAAGAGTTGGAAGAGTTGTTAACGGAGTACAACGATGTTTTTTCGAAATTAACCAGGCGCATGGGCCGCACAAACATTGGCAACCCACACGATTGACGTAAGTGAGGCGAGCCCTACAAAGAGTCGTCCATACAGGGTGTCTCAAAAGGAGAGACAAATAATAGATGAACAGATAAATGAGATGCTGGAGTATGGCGTTATAAGACCATGCCACTCTCGTGGGCAAGCCCAGTGGTACTTTGCTGAAAGAAAGACAGTACCTACAGATTCTGTGTGGACTACAGAAAACTCAATTCTGTAACCAGGAAGTCGTCCTACCCGTTGCCAAATATGGATGACATTTTAACATATATGGGAGGTGCAAAATACTTCTCTACCCTGGATATGTCTAGCGGTTACTGGCAGGTCCCCATAGAAGAACAATCTAAGCCATACACAGTATTCGTCGCCCAGGGGCATGGGACTTACGAGTTCAATGTCTTAAGTTTTGGCCTCTGCAACGCGCCGGCAAATTTTCAAGCCCTAGCCGATGAAGTCTTCAAAGGGATGAAATGGTCAGACATTTTAATTTACCTAGATGATAATTTACACGAGAGGAACACTTGAGGAAATTGAGAAAAGTATTTCAAAGGTTGAGGGAGGCAGGCCTAACGCTCAAACCGAGCAAATGTTCATACATGGAGCATCAGGTCAAAATACTGGGTCATCAAGTGAGCGCTACTGGAATAGTCCTATTGTGCTAGTAAGCAAACAAATTATTGAAGATCAAATTAATGCTTTTTGTATGGCAAAATATTTTACCATGTATTCTGGGTATACCCTCTTTAATTTCGTCTTTCGGTTATTCCCCGATGCGCGATGTATTACTACTCGATCCCGGTTTCCAAATATTTCAATTTGAAGTTAATAATACAATTTGTTCCTATTAAAAAAATTGAAATAATAAATTCGTAACTTTATAAAAATGTCACAAATTAAATCTCAGGCATTTTTAATGTGTCCCAACCATGTTTGTAAGTATCAACAAAATGAGTTAGTGATGGAAATAAGAATATATTCAAGTGAAGTATGATGTCTACTCTGCAGATAGTTTGGATGATTATATTAAAATGTTACAAGAATTTACTTACTGGAAATTTTCATCAAATAGGAGGCACAATAAATTTACCAAAGAATACCGATTTTGATTTTAAACCTACATATTTTAAAATCGTTCGATGCATTTCAATGAAAGTGTAGGGCTAAAATATATTTAATTTTTTCACTATGTTTTCAATTTAGTCAGTCTTGTATTTTAAATTTATCAATTTGTTGTTTCTTTCACAAAAAAAAAATTAAAAAATTTAATGCACACTGTAACAAAACATTAATAATGATTGGAATATAATATATAAATATATTTTAATATTTTATCTAAATCTAGTAGTTTACAAAATTGAGAAACTTATTTGTATTCCAATAATTATAATTGTTAAAAAATATATATTAAATCATTTCTTACCACTGGAGGAACAACACTTAAATTAATTAAGTGAATAACTGTCAAATACTTCCAGCTACTACTCAGCACCAACCAGTACAAGTCCTGTAATTGTTTAACAGCCGTTTTATGGTCTTTTCCTTCTAATCTTGCTAGTATATATAAAGTGAATGCTTGATAAAGAGGGGAGTAGATCAGTCTTTCGATAAAAAGTTTTTTAACAACAGCAAAGGACGCCTCTTCTGAAACTATTCCTTCCAAGAAATTGTAGAAATAGTGGGGAATCGTGCCACCAAAAACCAATCTAAAATATAATAAAATATCAGTCAAATTGGTTAGGTACCTAGAAATGTAATTTTAAATCTATAAATATAAGCAGAGCTGGGAAGTACTCAAAATTGTACTCGAGTCTAGGGTGACCATTGACCATATTAATTTGTTTACAATGTAACAACCAACTAATCAAAAGGATCACTGTTTGTCACCAAATCTAACAACCAACTAGCCTAAAGACCTATTTGTAACAACTGATAGGTATTTAACTACTGTTGTCAATATACTATTAAGGGATTTATGCAGCACTGTCACCAGCCAAAGAGTCCTAGAGTACCAAAAGTACATCCATTCTCCAGTGGCAAAAAAAAATAATAAAATAAAATTATCCCTTAATTGCATAGGCTAGCGGCTTTGGTAACTAGTTATAGATTATTCCAGTCCTTAGGGGTAGAAACGCGGAGGCTCAACAAATGTTCGGACTATTTTATAACTGGTTTTGGAAAGGGGAGGAAAGATTAACAAATGTATATTTAAAATAACTACAAAATAAATAATCAATTTATATTTAAGGAACAAACATTGATGATAAACTTTGACGGGGTGAAGACTTTTTTTTAACACCCAAAGATTAAAATTCAAAAACAGAGTCATGTAGAGAACCAGATGACCTTTTTTGCTGGATAGATGCAATGCTTCGCTGGATAAGTACGTTTGATATACAAGATCAAAAGCTAGACAGACTGAAAATGCTATACACACACAAATAATACTAATAATAATAATAATAATAATTAATAATAATAATAATAAAGAATTTAATGACAATTTCACAAATTCTTTTTTATTATTATTATTATTATTATTATTATTTTGTTAGATTAAGCACTTAATTACAAATAATTTTCTTTTATTCATTTATTGTGTTCTCAAAATAAAATAAAATTTATGTATCTGATCTTTAAATGACATTTATTAAAAAAAAATTGTTATGTAAGATATTTCAAATATTATGTTCCCGAGTAGGAAATTGCAAGATCTATCAAAATCAAGAAAAAAAAATTGGGGTTACTATTTAAAAAAATTGTCAATGACGTCACTGCCCAAAAATGGGAGGAGGGGGAAAATTGAATTCTATTTAAAAAATTGCGATTTAAGTAAACAAAATTGACCTGTCCGAGCATTTTTTCGAAAAACCAACTACTTCCATTATAATGAATTTATTCCTTTCATTTGAACCATACTGTATATGGTCATCCTACTAGAGTCCTCAATAATTGGTTCTCGTGAGTACCTTTATCCTATGATGGGACTATGTACTCGAAAAATTTCGAGTACTTTACATTTTAGAGTACTCAATACTTCTAATTCCTATATCAGATGAGTAACCAGTAACGAGAAGGAGTACTGATGCGCGCAGAGGTCCAGGCAAGCCTCAGCGTGTCTTGTTTGCTGTGTCTTACTGACAGAACCACTGTTTACTATTATTCTTTTACATTTTATGATTTGTTTTGCTTTGACCAATCAGACACGTCTAAATAACATAATCTATCATAAACGTTTATGTTGGTTTATGCCGCGAAAAATACCTTATATTCTCATACGGAACTGTCAATGTCAAACATTTTGTCACAATGCGCTAGTTCAGTGATGTATTTATGGTTCCACTGACAATTAAAGTGAGTAGATTTTTTGAGTGCGTTTTGTTCATTTTGTTTACCTAAATTATATCGTTTCTTCACTTTTATAAATATATTCCTATAGTAAGCAGATAAAATGCATTAAATATTCAATCGTTTATTTACCAATTACATACCTTTAAACAATTTTTTATGACCTGTAAACAATATTTAGAAATAAACTAAAAACAGTAAAAACGTATACGTCAAATTTATTGATGTTTATGTTAAAAGTTTGGTTAGAATTAAATGTCAGTGGAACCAAAATGACATCACACTGAACTAGCGCATACTCGCGTACTTGTAAACAAAATTATCAGTCTCAATTTTGCTACAAGGTTTTTTGAAGTTGCGACGAAAAACAACATTTTGATTTACCCCTGTATACTATTGTCTAAACGAAAAATGTTATTTATTACAAAAATTAAAAAAAAACAGAATAAATTAATTTACAAAACATTAAACTTGGTCAAAATTTTAAAGTGTAAAACTTTTTAAGAAGTAATTGTATTTTTTTTTATATATATATAATACAGGGTGATTTGTTGGATCAAAATCAGTAAAGCACATGTCACATTTTTAGGCTATTTTTAGGTTCTTGAAATATTATAAAACTTTTCGAAAAAAATTAGTATATTTTAAAATATCAAGATTCTTTGCTAGCTTCGAACGACGTATTAAAGGTTTTTTTTCTAAAAACAACCACTTTTAGGCTAGTTTTTGGCTCTTGAAATAGAACTTTTCGAAAAAAATTGATATTTTTAAAAAAATATAGGGTACTTTGCTAGCTTTGAATGAACCCAGCAAAGCACCATGTTTTTTAAAGTTTTGTTTTTATAAAAAAATAATTATTGCACCTCATTTTTAGAGTATTTTTAGGTTCTTAAAATATATTAATCATTTCGATTAAAATTTACTATTTTTGAAAAACCCTCTGCTATATTTTTTATAATAAAGTTCTATATTTTAAGATCCTAAAAATAGCCTAAAAATGTGATATATTTGTTTTTAGAAAAAACTTTAAAGTCAGCAAGGAATTGCGTATTCTTTAAAAAATGGCAAATTTTTTCAGAAAGTTTTATAATATTTCAGGAGCCTAAAAACGTGGGGTGGTTTTAAAAAACGAGGTGCTCTGCTAGCTACGTTCGAAGCTAAAAAAGCAACCTGAATTTTCTAAAAATAGCATTTTTTATTTTATTTTATATCTCAAGAATATAAAAACAGCCTAAACTGTGTCATAGTTGTTTTTAGAAGAAAAACCTTTAAAACCGAGTTGCTTTATTGTTGCTTATTTTTTTCAAATAGCTTTATAATATCAAAAGCCAATAATAGCCTAAAAAGTGGTATAAGTAGTCTTTATACAGTATGTCGCTTATGTATGGAATAAATTCATTATAATGGAAGTAGCTGGTTTTTCGAAAAAATGCTCGGACAGGTCAATTTTGTTTACTTAAAGCGCAATTTTTTAAATAAAATTCAATTTTCCCCCACTTCCCATTTTTGGGCAGTGACGTCATTGACAATTTTTTTAAATAGCAACCCCAATTTTTTTTTCTTGATTTTGATAGATCTTGCAATTTCCTACTCGGAAACATGATATTTGAAATATCTGACATAACAATTTTTTTTGAAAAAAAGTCATTTCAAGATCAGATACATAAATTTTATGTTATTTTGAAACACAATAAATTAATAACAGATAATTATTTGTAATTAAATGCTTAATCTAACAAAATAATAATAAAAAAAATCATAATAAAAAGAATTTGTGAAATTGTCATTAAATTCGTTTTATTATTATTATTATTATTTTTTTTTTTTAAATTAAGCAATCTAAAAAAAAAACTAAAAACTAACAAAAACTAAAAAAAACTACCTTAAAATCTACTTATACTTATAGTTTTTAATTCTTAGGTTTTTTCCAACCCTTTATAGATTTTTTAAATTCCCTATTTAACCCTTCATGTATGATAATGAAACGTGGTTAGTCACGATGGGTCTGCCTGACCCATGAGTACTTAATACCCTACATTTCAATTTCTTTAAAAACAAATTACATCTTATTCTTTTGTCAGTTTAACTATCTCTTAATAGCCCAAGAGCCCACTGCAAATTTTTACTGTCATCTGATAACGAAATGAAATCCCAAAAGCACGTAAAAACATTGTACTTTACCAAATGGCACCTGTGCCAATCCCAATCCTGAGCAAATTGTTAAAAAAAAAATATTTTATATTAAAAAAATCATAAGGCATGACAGCGCTAAATTTTGTTTGCCCTTAAAGTTTTCCAGAAAATAACATATTCAATAGAAATATTTCTTTTTATTGGAAAAAAATTTAAAATAGGGTTTCCAAAATTATATAAAAAATCATATCTTAGGAACGGGTAGAGCGATATGGATGAAACTTGCACCGAAGGTGCGGACCCACGAGACGCTTCTTAAAAAAAATCAGCGTCAAAATCTATTTGACAGTTTCCTTGGAAACCGCAAAAATGCTCGAAAAATCGCACGAAAATCGTCCGAAAGTCCTATGAGTCCCTTTTCCGGGATTTGGGTGCATTATGGAAGTGAGTTTGCATAAACGGCAGATACTTAAGACATCGTAGTCGGCTCGAATCGGGGTCTGTTTCGTCTCCCGTCAACTGTCACTTTTTTATGACGTTTTGAAAATTTCTTTTTGTTTTTTCGACCATTTATTACAAACGAATAATTTTTTTAATATTTTTCCCAAACACCTCTCGCCTCTCTCTACCTCACCACGCACACAAATTTTTCGTCGGGCGTCATTTTTTTTTTTTTTTTCGACCAATTTCGTATGAGGGGTTTCCGGGCGACTTTAAAAAATCGTACCGTCCGAACGGATGGATGGATTTTGATGAAACTCGGACGGAGGCTGTATACCCACGGGACGCTTCCGAAAAAAAATCGGCGTCAAAATATGTTAGACGGTTTCCATGGAAACCGCGAAAAACCTCAAAAAATCGCACGAAAATCGTCCGAAAGTCCTATGAGTCCCTTTTCCGGGATTTGGGTGCATTATGAAAGTGAGTTTGCATAAACGGCAGATACTTAAGACATCGTAGTCGGCTCGAATGGGGGTCTGTTTCGTCTTCCGTCAACTGTCACTTTTTTATGACGTTTTGAAAATTTCTATATCGTTTTTCGACGTTTTAATGGAAACGAATAAGTATTTTTTCCAAACACCTCTCTTTACCTCACCACGCACACAAAGAGAAACATTTTCTTCCTCTTAACATCACACAAAAACATCTATCCACGATTAGTAGGTAGAAATCTTTAAAAATATGAATTAATTTTTGCTGGATTAAACATTTATTTGTATGCCTA